AATAACAAAAGCAACTGGTTTTTTTTAACCAGTCCACGGAAATTGCTCTGCATCAGTGGCCCTTTAAGCCAACATGAAGCTCGTTATGATATATTTCTCTGTTATCATGACCGCTAGACCCTGGAATTAACCACGATCTTTTCCTTTATTTATTTTCTATCCAGTTATGAACCAAATTGTGTTTGCACACCATATGTCCAATATTTGCTCACATCAGGCCATACTTAGCCTCCTTTTGGCAGGAAAGACTCAATCTCTTGATAAAACCTATCGTCCCTTTCCATTAGTAAAGGCCGTGGCTCACTGATGTCGCCACATTAGAATCCAGGTAACTTTTTAAAGATTTGCTATCGAATACAGAAATGAATAAATCACTGAGCGGCCTTCATTTCAAGTCTGTTTTGAAAAAAGGTCATGACAAACGACAGCCTTGTGCAAGACATAATAAAAAAACACACCATACAACAGTGAAACCTCTGTGTGAGGAACTGGTAAGGAAACCGTATATTCGTCGCAACTGCTTAGATGATCAGAATTGGAGCATTACGTGACAACTTAATCTGCCTATTATTCGTCAGTTCAAATGTTCTCGCAGTTAGACGAACGATAATTGCTTCTGCAATTTCTGAAAATTTGACAGTTTCCCATTGATACATCAGTGAAGTTCATGCAAACAGTCCCCTGGTGTTGAACCAGTGTCGTGTGATTGGCGTTTGAAAAAATTCAAAGGACGTGGGGACACATAAGCTGTTTTCAAAAGTCTTTTTTCAAATGAAGTGTTTATTTGTCACAAAACGTGCAAATACTTTGTTAAATTGTACAAACGTAGCAAAATAGGTCGCCTACGGGTCTGCCACGCTTCTCAATGAAATATTTACACTGTAACCTAGCATAATAGCTGTTACATGGGCCTCCAATATGCCAGGAATGTGGTTGAGCATACACTGATATTACATTGACAATTGTCTGTTGCTTGTAGATTCTGGAAGAAAGTTAATGATAATATTATCAAATCAAGCTTAACTAACGGGAGTTTGTGTCAGCAAATCGGTGTTACCAGCAGATAGAAGTAACACTGCGGCTTTTGAAGTTCGATCATGCGGGAGTGTTATTACATTCACATTTCTTACCATTCTGCTTCCTTGAGACATGCTGACATGTCACGATTGATACTCTTGATGTTGGCGTGTTCTTTTTAAAATAAACAAAACAAAACTAACCACAACGAACATAAAGAATACCCTTTGACTGATAGTGTCGATGCCTTCATGATGAATGATACGGACGTTTTCCAACGCTCGCAAAAGTACATCCAATGAATTAAACAGATCAGCCGTATCTATGGATAAAATATACGTCAATGCAATGCAATTTTACAAACGAACGTATTGTACCTCATCTTACCTGAAATACCTTCTGAAGGTATCACTAATCACGTTCATTTGCTTTGTTGAGAAACACTGTAGTAATCGTGCTATATGGTCAACATGAGACGCAAGGTTAAAAATGAATTGTCAAGTGTTAATGTGACAACTGCTGATAACGAAGGAACAATCTTATAACCATTGTTTCATCTTTAACGGAATCAGTTATCTTCAGATCTTTGCTACAGGTGTGTTACAGGTGTGTGTGACCCCTGACGTTCTTGCTCAGAATGAATTTTCAGCAAACCATGAGTGTTATACGAGGTGACCAACGGGAGATGATGGGCAGACTCGATGACTTGGTTGATATCCCAAATGGGTAGATAGATGTTCTTGATATTAATCATTTCTTTTCCAGACTTGTTTATTTAGCTGGAATTTTGATGAGTGCCACGTTAAACAACAAACAACCTGATGAACACTATGTGTGTGTGTGACGTCATTGAAACACGATGCAAAGATAATTTCATTTCTTGACATCAGAAAAAGAGGGTATGTTTTTTATGTCTAATATAGGAATTATGACGTGATCTTTTGCTGTGAACATACGATTTAATTCACCCAAGGAAATGTGTAATACTTCTCGAGGAGGGAAGTATACGTTTAATTATAAAGCATTCACGTCCTGAAAAGCAATAAATAAATGTCAATATTTCATTTAAGGACAAATCCTTAACAGTTATATGCAACGTGGAAAGGACATGGGTGACAGAAACGCCTGACTAAATCATATGTGTGATATGGTTAATCTGTTTGTGTTATGCCACAGACGTTCTTCGCACAGCTAATCACGAATTTACTTCTACCGTGTTAGAAAGTTGTACATTTACACATCTACTTCTATAAACGAGACCCGACAAAACATTTCTTGAAGACCAAACTGACTACAGGAGAGTAATACTGTCAGGGTCGTAATTTAACACAGCAACACTTATCAGATTAACGTTTACATAGTTTTTCCTGACGATACTTCATCCGTGCTTCTCGCTACGAGTCTCGACGTTCCAAAGGGCTTCCCTGCGTCATAAGACACATTTCCTAATGCAATCTTCTAATTATCCCGATACAGCTACTTGTATTAAGAACAAGTGCCATTGAACAAATCATTCCACCAGCGGCAAGAAAACGTTTCTGTTCCAAATATTTATTTCCATGCAAAACCGCAGCCAATCTCCTTCCGAAACCATATCCATGACAGATATGTCATAACTTGAGATATATCCCGACTTTCTATGCAAGCTGATGGAGTTCTGAGAGGGGCCTAAATGGGGCTAAAAGGGTGATATTCATGACAGATTCTGACAACTTCTCGGGGATCTTCAAATCATCCACAGAAAATGTTCCTTAAACAATATCAATCTGCAAATGGTTACAGATTTCCGTTTTTGTCATCTTATTCATATTTGTTGTCGACAAAGCACCATGATTGGGGTGGAGACAGAGTCAGTGAAATGTACATACACTGGACCCTGCGACAATGAGCTTGTCGCGGCTGCCAAATCGAAGAAAAGTAGGCTGGTCACGCTGAGTACCAGTGTCCGATTCTCGCATGTAGTAAGTTTAGTAGTCGGTGTTAGTTGGTGTTATTACACTTTGCAATCAAAACATATTACAGTGGCATAAAGCGACGTGTCTTCACGCAATGTTTTGAGGGTCGTCTTGCCAAGAAAAAGACCTTGGTTCTGTTCCTGAAATGGACAGTAGGTATTTTTTTCTCGCTTCACGTATTGTCATTTTTCTCCAAAATTTGTAGAGATGGTGACAAACCTCAGCCACTCACGGCATTTCCAACAGGGATCAAATGGATGTGAATGTGACGTTATTGTCAGCAATTATCACTTCCTATTGGTTCACTTCACAAACGCTTACCATCATTAACCTCGCCTATTATCGGCTTCAATGACGAACCATGTGTTCGCTTGAATATACGAAACCCCTTAAAGATCCTGGTCTTGTTGGCAGGCACCTGCGACCGATGCCAGATGAAGGGAACTTGCCATCCTTTGACATCCAGTAAGTACAGACTGTTTGAGATCCAAGATTTCCTCGTCTTGTCTGAGATTGGTACATTGTAAAGACTTAGGGTCGTACAAATTGTGAGCTCTATTGATACAAGAGCTCTACTCTTCCTATGACATGACACATTTAATGACTTTCAGTTTTGGTGTAAAGCATGCGAGAATTCCCAGCACCAGGGGGAGTGACAACAATCTGGCTAGTGTTTATGTGTCCGAGGTTTGTGTTAAACGCACCACTTTGAAACAAACGTATTGATTCAGGTCGATGGTTTGGGTGAAGTCTCGACGTGGCTAATGTCATCTGGAAGTCAATTAGTTATATTAAGTTAGGCTCTGTTCTTCCTCTGCGACTCTTTACTTCATTGTGCTGGCAGTCTATTCAGCTGAAGACAGAAACGAAATTACTCTCGGTTCTAGTTCGCGGTAAATGTCAGCAAAGTGTTTATTTGAAATACTGAAATCCCAACAAACACAACACAGCTCTCATGCTGGGGACCACGTCTGTCAAGAGTCTCCGATGTATGGAAGGATGTATACTTTATCATTAGTCAAACTTTAAGGTTAATTCTAAGTTGGCACACGAGTCCAGCTTCATGTTCAGGCCGTGTCTGAACTTCTCGCGGGCTACAGACATCGTCATGACAGAGACTTCACTGTCTGAAGCTGTCCAGTAACTGAGGAATGTAGTTCTGAGTCCGAGATCCGGTCTAGTGATGGTTCAATGGTTATTTGTGGCACCATACTCGCTCATACGTTTCAACCAAACGAGGGCTACAGACATCGTCATGACACAGAATTCACACTCTTAGGCTTCAGCCGCTGCGTTTTGCTGTCCAGTAACTGACGAATGTATTCCTGAGTCAGAGATCCGAGATTCAATGTTTATCTGTGGCACCATACTTGCTCATACGTTTCACCAAAAGTGGTAAAAAGCAATTTCCATACAATTGTTCCAGTGTGTAGAGTCGAACCCGGCACGAACCCAGATTAACAAATTCGGAAGTATAACAACATGACAGCTTGTCCCTTAAGTCTAAAACGCAAAGAAGGTTGCAGACAAACTTTGCTATCCTTGCTTAGCCTAAGAACCGATTAACAAGATATGATATTGCATGTGTTGACACGACTGGTGTTGCGTAATCATAACCTAATGGTGTAAGCCGTTGGTCATGCTATCGGCCATTAGTGTTTTTGTCTTAGGCTCCATTATTGTAGGAGTTGACTACCTGTAGCCCAATATGTCTTGACTATCTAACATAACACTGTTTTTGCTGACTCTCACATACCAATGTTTGTGCTGACTCTGATATAATAGCATTGTTTGTGTTGATTCTCTCAGATAACAACATTGTATTTGTGGACTCTTTTACGTAACGAGACTGTTATGACGGACCATGGATAAAAACGCAGCATTGGGTATTGGTACATACAATAACAAAATTATCTTCGATGACTCCTTAACACAACACAAACACTGTTTGGTATTAATATTTTAAGAGAAACGAGTGTTGACTCTAACACAAAATAACACGACTTTCTACGTTGAATCCCGAAAACATTGCATGATTTTGTATTTGAGTCACGCATAACAAGATTGTCCGTGATTAAATATGTGGTTCTCTCATACAATATGAAGACTGTTAACTAGAATACCAAATAAAATAAGGAGATAGGATAACATAACAGTTTGATTGTGTATTTGAGTATTATAGAGGCCATGATTGTTCATGTTGACATCCACACACAATACTAAATATGTGGTTTAGACCTTAACATGTTATAACAAGACTGACTGACTGACTGAGTTTGGTTTTACGCCGCTTTTAGCAATATTCCAGCAATATCACGGCGGGGGACACCAGAAATGGGCTTCACTCATTGTACCCATGTGGGGATTCGAACCAGGTGTTATAACAAGAAACCTGTTTGCCACATATAACAAGATTGTGCGTCTGGGTCTCAAACAAACAAACAAACATAATAACAGCATTGTTTATGTTGACCCCAGCATGTAATGACGAAGCTGCTCATGTTAACACCAATACATAACACGATTATGCATATACCACCCTCCTACAGCAAGACTGTCATATTGACTTCATACAGATAAATTCATGATTGAGCATTTTACTTAAACATGTAACACGTTTTGTAAAGTCAACTCCACGTATAATAACAGGAGTGTTTACGTCCATTTCCACACAAATTACATATTTGCCTCCCCCTCTCAACAAGACAAGGTTTTACACCCACACACAGTGTCTAATCCGTTTCTGTCCAAACAGCCAGCAGTAACAGTCATCTGAACCTGTGTCGGGGTTTCAGACTAAGTCCTCCTTCAATCATGGTTACCTTGCTTTAGTTTTTGTCTAGCATGCTGTTTGTGGTTGAACTTAATACAAATAAGTCCATCAGATGAGTATACGTTTTTTTGCAAAGCTAGGGCACATACTTCTCAATTTACTCAACTAACCTTTGGACATAGAATAGTTCATGAGGGAAGCAGTACTCGCCTCAGCCCTAAACAGCGATCTCCTCCTCATGTTAGGATGGAATTGGATGGATCAGCTTGTAACATGTTGAGTCGGATGCACGCTTCCCAGCCACAAAACCGTGAACACTGTTACGAATTACAACGTTGCACCTGATAGACTTCCTTGTAAGTATTAACATATACTGTTTGAAAGTCGTAACAAATCTTGTCTCCTTGCAAAACATATATTCTTTCCTTTTCCTTTCAAATAAAACTATAAGAAGAACCATTTTTTTTCTTGGGCAGTTAAGAATGTTTATCAGATAGACTTGATAATTTGCGTTAAGAAAGTTTATGAATCCATCACAACTCGCAGTTTAGATCGTCACTTCAAACATCAGTGTTTGTGAGATGAGCCATGGAGATTCTGTGAGCGACGTTGAACCTGTTTATTCACTGCCGTGTTGTAGAATTGTGTGTTTGTCGAGTAGAGTGGTACTCCTCGTAGGAGTTGCTCTCCAAGCTACTGAGTTATAAACTAATACAGCTAACTGTTTATGACTAACGTAATAGGCATAAACAAGGTTTGTTCAAGAATCTACCAAATTAATTAACTTTCTAAATTAACCAACATTATCGTCCACATATCCGTCATAAACATCTTAGACATAATCATATCCTCCAAACATACAGTTCTCCAGATTGCTTTGATCGCATACATCTAAACATGATATCAATGTCACAAATGTGGCAGCATGCCTTTGGTCGTATAAAGCCGACGTCAAACACCTAGACGGCTCATCCAGGACGATGTGAGATGGTCAATAAAGAGCGTTGTCCAGCCATCTAACGTCTAATGACCTATTAGAATCAGGGCGGTGTACATAGCGTCAGTTATCAGAGGATACAGACCCTCTGTAAATACTGGGGATTAATAACACAGCTGCTTTATTCCTGGTCCAGGGGCTGATGTTTGGTGACGAAGCATCCTCATCAGCTTTAACATATATAATCTACACGACTTGGTCGCTCAACACAGAGTGGCTGATTAGGGTTGTGAGGTCGGGGTAGCGAGGGCGAATGATTAACGTTGGTGTTTAAGACGGAAGTTGTGTCGTTTGAACATGTAATGGAATGTCAATAGTAGATGGAACTGAAAACTGTGAAACATTTGATACGATTTAAGTGATGAACCTGTATTATTTTGAGATCGATCATGGAAATTGATGCATAAAGCAATAGCGCCTTCACTGATAAAGTGGTCGATCATTGAACCACCAGGGTTATCAAAAGCATGTCAGACAGTATTTGGAAATTGAACGTTTCAGAATATACGCAACTGATGCTAAACCAATGATATTAGTGTGTAGATGGATCGGATCTGATTGGACATTGCAATGAGAGGCTCCTGATACAAATAGGGACGCAAATCTGCAAACCTGAGTAGGTCCACCAGGATACCTAATACACTCTCGGACAAAATAAGTATTCACTAGAACATTGGTCGTTAAAACACTGTAAACTGAAAATCGAAACCAGCACTGCGAAACCCTCATCAAATACATCGCTGTCGAATAACCATTTCTTGTTTTGATTCAACCTTATTATCAGCTATCATCAAACATTGGAGTAAACTTTCCTTTACGTACATCAACGTGAAGAAAGTTGTTTCGTTTGGACATGTAATAGAAAGTCAATAGTAGATGGAACTGAAAACTGTGAAACATTTGAAACGATTTAAGTGATGAATCTGTATTATTTCGGGATCGGTCGTAATGGAAATTGGTGCATAAAACAATAGCGCCTTCACTGATAAAGTGAAATGCCAGGGTTATTAAAAGCATGTCAGACAGTATTTGGAAATTGAACGTCTCAGAATATATACAACTGATGATAAACTAATGATATTAGTGTGTAGATGTATCGGATCCGATACGACATTGCAATGAGAGGCTCCTGATACAAATAGGGACGCAAATCTGCAAACCTGAGTAGGTCTACCAGGATACTTAAGTGCTTGAGTTGAGGAACAAAGATTGTTCTATTACAATCTGCATGTATAGTACGTTTGTAACTGTATTCGTGATAACAGTAATACACTCTCGAACAAAATAAGTATACACTACAACATTAGTCGGTAAAAGACTGTTAAGTGAAAATCGAAATCGCACAGAGAAACCTTCATCAAATACATCCCTGTCGAATAACCATTTCTTGTTTTGATTCAATCTTATTATCAGCCATCATCAAACATTGGAGTAAACTTTCTTCTTTGTACATCAACGTAAAGAAGACAGTGGTGGTTTTGATACACAGTCGAGCCCAATCACTCATGTAGCACGCAATCTCTCGATCAGATCGTTCTGATACTTGTATTTACACACTTGCGCAGTGAACGTTATTAGAGTCAATTAAATGCATGGTTTTATCCTTTTTATGATCATAAAGAAACTGATAAGAAGAGTCGTATAGGAAACATAATGTGACATATCTTTGATCAGTTAATGGACAAGTATCTCCAATACACCTGATCAAAGTGTTTTCAAAACGAAACAACATATGCCTTCTGGAAATTAGATATATTTTTCAACTGTACAATATAAATCCGTGTAAAAACACCGCTGTTCCAGTACTGGTCTGTTTGAAGTCAGATGGTAACGGCTAATTGATAATGTAAAGATGGCAGGGTCTTCTCATACATAGATATAGATGAGTAGTTATTCTTCTGTGAAAATGGAAATAATAAAACAATATTTCATTTTCACTTTGAAAGGCACATAAAGAATGTATGGAAGTAAAGAGGGGGGTGTTGAATTGTTACCGTGGAACCCGTGAGTGAGTGAATCCGTGAGTGCGTGCTTGCGTCTGTCCGTACGTTCGTGCGTGCTTGTGTGCGCGCGTACGTGCGTGCGTGCGTGCTTGAGTGAGTGAGTGAGCGAGCGAGAGAGCGAGCGCGTGTTCCATCGGCGACACCAAGCGAGTGAGTGAGTGAGTTTAATTTTACGCCGCACTCAGAGATATTACAGCTCTATGGAGGCAGTCTGTAAATAATCGAGTCTGGACAACACAATCCAGTGTTCAACGGCATGAGCATCGATCTACGCAATTGGGAACCGATGACATCTATCAAGCAACTCAGCAAGCATGACCACCCGATCTCGTTAGTCGCCTCTTACGACAAGCATGGGTTACTGAAGATCAATATTCTAACCCGGACCTTCATGGGTACGACACAAAGCAATTTTACAAACAACAATTTTGCAGAATTCAAGCCATTAGTTAGATAATTTAGGATTATCCCGTTTTGAACAGTGTTCCCGTTATATCACGTCGGGATGGTTGGACTTAAGTCCATTGGGATACAGGTCTCAGACGTTCACAGTCAGACAGGGTCACCATGAGGGTGAATTCAGGGAGATTCGAACTCCAGACAGAATGGTGCAGACATCGCTATTCCTACGCATGGTTACATGACATATTGCTGTTAACATTCAGTAGAGTTTCCCAACATTCGATTTTGTCAATAGCTGTCAGGAATGTATTATTATCTGGTATAATACAAAACATAATCTAGATCCATTTGGAGCCACGTGTAGTCTGCAAACCTCCACAACAGCATAGACTTATCTAACACAGTTGGGATTATACTGAAGTGTTCTGAAGACTCCATCAGATGGTAAGATCACGCCTCTACCATCCAACACAGTTGGGATTATACTGAAGTGTTCTGAAGACTCCATAAGAGGGCAATGTCACGCCTCTACCATCCAGCACAGTTGGGATTATACTGAAGTGTTCTGAAGACTCCATAAGAGGGCAAGATCACGCCTCTACCATCCAACACAGTTGGGATTATACTGAAGTGTTCTGAAGACTCCATAAGAGGGCAAGATCACGCCTTTACCATCCAACACAGTTCGGATTATACTGAAGTGTTCTGAAGACTCCATAAGAGGGCAAGATCATGCCTCTACCATCCAACATTGCATCAAAACCAAAAGTTTTGTCGAAATCATTATTTTCAACCTATTTGGGGAGTAACATGTGTTATATTTGGGATTACACTTTCTTAATAAAGTTCAAATTTTGGGAGCTTG